AAAAAAAAAAAAAAAAAAGAAAGAAAAGAAAAAGAAAAATAGAAACAATGTAAATATAGCTAATAATAAATGTCTGTACCGAGAAAATAGTTTCTAGAATGGTCAAATGATGACCAGGAAGTGGATACTGTCACAAAAAGCATCTTTAAGCTATGTCCTTTAGAGCATTTTACCTTGAAATTACTTTTTTTAATTACCTGAATATAAAAAATATTTATTCACCAGTTCTCTTCAATAGCTTGAAAGGAGACCCATACCTATTCAATTACATTAAAGAAATTCCTCATCATGAACAATTGGGTTTTCAGAAAACCTCAGTCATCTGTGAGATTAACAGGTCTTCGGGATTCATAGATATAAAAATGGAGCCCCGTTCCAACCCTGAATTGAAGGGAGTGCATGAAAGTGAGTGCCCCTTTTCTCTGAAGTCTGTTGATTTTGTAATTAGGAATAAAGAAAGGGTACAATTCTGGTATTTTTTTCTGTGCCTGCCAGAATGTACTGCTAGTGAAATTCAAGATGATAGAAGCAAGGAGTGGTCTTCAAAGATGAACAAAGATGAAAGGGACAGTTTAAGTTATTCAAGAATCATCAGCAAAGATGGAATTTAATTTTAGCAGAAGTTTAAACACTTAAAAATAAAATAACGTGTCAGCCCTTTTAGCCTGTCAGTGGAGGTCTGGGCAAGTGAAAGATGGGTTAGGCTATAGATTTACAAACATAAGACATTCTGTTTCTCAAACATGGGGGACTAAGAAGAGATGACTGTATCCATGAGCTAGCATGGCTTGTCAACGTTCTTGCTCTCATTAGTCTTGTTCCAATTGCACTATTTGACCTTTTGTGGCTTTATTAAGTGAATTTAGCAAACGTTTCATTATTTGAAAATTTATATTTTATTACATATACTAGCATAAAAAGTAAATCTTCCCATTAATCACTTTTCTGTTGTTTGTGCAAGTAATGATCACTATTCTTTGGCAACCTAAAAAGTGTCATTGAATGTACATTTAATTTCAAAACAATTATGACACAAACACATAGAAGTATATAAACCAATGTCTCCATTTGTCCCTTGCCTGATGTTTAGGTGGTGGCACTAGGGGACGTTCCTGATGGCACTCTGGTCACCGTGATGGCAGGCAATGATGAAAATTATTCCGCCGAGCTGAGAAATGCTACTGCGGCCATGAAGAACCAAGTCGCAAGATTTAATGACCTCAGGTTTGTCGGTAGAAGTGGAAGAGGTAGGTATCTGTCAAAACGGACCCTGAAACACGTTTCATGGCAACAGACCTAGATGTCAAAACTTCTAGCAGTGTCTGGAAGGAATCCCCAGAAATGCATCTTTCTTCATGTTATTACTGCTACGCCAAGCTTTTAAAAAATACTTATTTAAAATTTAATATTAAAATTTACTATTTTTAGCAGCATCTGACATTCCATTATTGCTTCGTATTACTGAATGGGTTTAAGTCTAATCTGAAACATACAAAACATGAATTGTGAATCTCAAAAAAAGTCCTCAGATTTTTACAAAAATGTAAAACTTGTCATAGTGGAAACCAAGATTATGCAATGGGGATTCTTTCTAGTGATATTCAAAAATATATTTAATATATTTAAGCTTTTAATTTATGCTCTATGTGCTGTCTGTGACAAATGAGAGAGCTTCAAATGATTACTTCTAATAGTTTTTAGAGATCTCTGGTATATGGTGTTGAAAGAAATAGTATTAGTACCATTAATAGCAATGTGACCTTCTTGTTTGATTTCTTTTGACTCCCCTATTATAATTTGGGGGGAATGGTTAGGCATGGTTAACGTTTCAGGTACTAATAATATTAGAGACTGGATTGTCCAAGGAATTGTTGTTGCATTAATTTAGCCCTGTGGATTTTTCTGTTTCTCTGCCTTTAACTTATTATCAAAGCATTAACAGAAAGAAGAACATTGGCTCTTTGTAATTTCCTCTGTTTTCGAATTATTTTTGAGTATCACATTTACTGTGTAGTGTAAGAACCTAAGTCATGTTTTATATAGACAACAACAAGTACAAAAAGTTTAATTGAAAGACATAGGATTATTTTTGTAATATAGCCAAGAATAATCTTATAAATAAAAGCTATTTTTAGTAGAAAGACTTATAAAAAAATACCCAAATAACAGTGATACCTCTTGTATTGAAATAAATAGAAGACCCAACCAAAGAACATTTATAAGAGATTCATTACTCTTTATAAAAACATTTAAAAATATAAGAAAATTTCTGTTCTCAGGGAATTTGATTAGTCAGAGAGGGGAAAGAGGTACATGCGTGTTGACTTTTGGGGGGGTATTGTTTTTGCTTTCCTAGCTGTCTGGAGCATTTTCATAATAGAATCATACATGGGGAAAATAAAAAAGGGTTGAAAATACGTTTTCATAATACCATGTTAATAATAGGGTAATGCAAAGAAAATTATATCCACTTACTGAAAGCGTGAGTGACGCTACAAGATATAAAAGCATAAGTCATTAAATGGGTTCACTTGTTATGTTACAAGTCCCTGCCTTTCTGTAAATGGAATTCTCATTATGATTCAGAGATGTGTGTTTAGAAAACATCTTGAAGGCTGTGGATGAGTAGGATGAGAAGCCAATAAAAAACAAAGGCCCCACAACCTGGTCCGTGCCCTTCCACCTGCTAACACTCCTGGTTCTGTTATTGTGGATTTCTGCTACGAGGAATCCATAGCTGAGTATCATTTGATTGCTTTTCTTGAGGAAGTATTACCCTCATATTCTGCATGGGTCTATGTGCTAGGTTTTGGTTGTAAAAGTTTTAAAAAACTATTTAATGGTCTGGCATTTCCCCCATGAGTTCAGCAGTGGCTTTCTGGCAATCCACAGTAAATCGGTGATCAGGAAGAATGCGATTTTGAAAGCAGCGTGCTTTCTTTTCTGGCATTGAGGGCTGATCTCCCGGCTCTCTCATTGGCTATTTCTGTTTTGAGTGGGTGACTAATAGGTGCTTGTGTTTACTTGGGTAACAGTGAACTGTTTCCCCAAGGTGTGGATTGTTTGCGCTTGACTGCCTGATTCGTGCCAGTATGCCCTTGAGTTTGCATAAACCCCAAAAGGTAACAGAACTGCAACCAAGGCTGGGCTGCCTTCTCATACCCTGGAATGAGAAAATTAATTGAAATGCCATAAATGGACGGTGTTTGTTTTGAACAGGCTCTCCTTCTCACTTGTGATAATATGCAATTGAAAATATGTGGTACAGGAACCCTAATTGAACGCTCAACTCAATTATGGTTACTGGGTATATTGTTAATCTTGAGTGATTTCTTTTTCTTTCTTTCTTT